TTATTCAGGGGTTCCATCATTTTTATATTCTCCTCTATTTTTTTATCAGTGTATTCTTTAGAAGCACTTAGTACTTCTTTGATTATAGTTATCACTACATTTTTTAGTTCAGAAATTATTTCTGATCTGATTTCTTCTATACCTTTCTGCAGCTGTTTATTACTGCCAATGCTATTATTTCAGAGATATCTGGCATGTGATTTTCAGTTTCCTCTATGCTAGTGTCTTCTGCAGTTGTACTGAGTGGACTCGGGGCCTGAGACTGCATTTTGTTCCTTCTCTTTGTCATTTTGTATACCACCGTCTTCTGACCTTTGGTGTAGAGCTTAGATAGAGTTGTTACCTTAGCACCAGGTCCGGATCTATGAAGTTCAGATTCCTCCAGGTGGGTGTTGTTTGGATCTGGCTGCTGTGCTCCACTTCTTTCTGCTGCAGCGCTTAGAGTTGAACCCTTTGTGTCTTTCTGGCAAGATGTTCTGCTCCTGAATCAGCTGGGTGGGTCTTACTCTCTAGCCTCTTTGCAGGGAGTTCTGCTGAAGGGTTCCATGCTGGGCCTGCACTCTGGGTCAAATGAGGAGCCAGTGGGCCCCAGGCGGTCTCATTCACACACCGGGCCTGGGCTCTGCCTCTAGTCAGGATCCTGCGGGTCCCGGGTCGTCTCACTCATACTGAGCCTGTGCTCTGGGTCTATTCAGGATCTGGCAGACCCCAGGTACTCTCACTCACAAGGTGGGCCTGTGCTCTGGGTCTATTCAGGACCCAGTGGCCCAGGTCCTCTCACTCACTCACTGGGCCTGTGCTCTGGGTCCAGGATGTATTTTAATTTCACTCTTTTCATTCTTAACGGTATGGATTTGAGTCTTTTCTCTCTTTTGGATAAGATTCACTAAAGGTTTGTCAATTTTATTTACTCTTCCAAGGAACCAGTTCCTTGACTCATTGTTTGTTTATATTGTTCTCTTAATCTGCATTGCATTAATTTCTGCTCTGATCTATATAATTTTCTCCCTCCTGTGAGCGTAGGGGTTGGCTTGCTCTTCTTTTTCTAGAAACTTGACGTCCAACATTAGGTGGTTTATTTGAGCTCCCTCTGTTTTCCTAGTATGGGTATAAATTTCCCTCAGGACTGCTTTCATTGTGTCCTATAAGTTCTAGTCTTATTATGGCATTATTATTAATTGTAGAAACTATTTAGTTTCTTCTTTAATTTCTTTTCTTTTCTTTTTTTTTTTTTTTTTTAGGAACCAAGGATTGAACTAAGGTTCTTGTGCTTGCCAGGAAAGTCCTTATTCCACTGAGCTATTGCCCCGGCCCTCTTCTTTAATTTCATCTGACCCATTGGTTGTTTAGGAGGGCACTAGTTAACTTCCATGTGTTTATGAAGTTCTTGTGGTTTCTTTTGCCACCAATTTTCAACTTTATTGCATTATGCTATGTAAATATGCAAAGGATGATTTCAATTTCAATTTGCATGTTCTGTGAGCTAGTATGTGCTCTATTTTGGAGAATATCCAGTGTGCAGCTGAAAAGAATATGTATTCTGATAATGTAGGTTGAAATACTCTATAGATATCTATCAAGTCCATTTGTTCAAATGCTTGGTTCAGTTCTAATATTTCTTGTTGACTTCTTTTGTCTAGTTGACCTGTCTTTTTAATGACACAACAGTGTTGATGACCTCCATTACAATGGTATTAGTGCTTATTTGATTTTTCATGTCTCTTATTATTGTTTTATACAGTCGTGTGCTGGTATTTGATGCATATATATTTTCATGATTATTATTTCTTCTTCTTGGATTGTTCCATTTACAAGGATGTAATTACCTTTTCTCTCTCTTTTTTTAAAGGCTACCTTTCTTATTTATTTATTTATTTATTTATTTGTGGGGGGGGTGGCCAGCTCAGCCCACCAGGGGGCGGGGCTGGCTGGCATGTGGTGCTGGGGGATTGAACTGCGGTCCCTGTGCTTTGCT